ACGCGGCGTCTCCCGGATAGTCGAGAATTCAATAATAATTGTTAACAATAATAGTTATTATATTATCATCATCACCATCGTGAATAGTGTTGTAAGTTAAAGAATACAAATTCGAATTTTAGCGCGGAAAAAATTGCTAGTTGGAAAGACTTGCAAGATCAACAAATTAATTTACTTAAAATGTAATTAAAAATTCTTAAAAGACTAGAAAATTCGTTGTACACGTAGGACTCATATTAATTGTAAAATTGTAATGGATTGTTGTATTGCAACTTACAATACTATGATGTTTTTAATTAATTTTTTAAAATATGCTTTGAAACAGTTGATCGTGCTCACCTTAAACGAGTCCTGATTATACTAAATTTCGACAGTATTCATTTAGATGCTATGACTTATCCTCATATTCGGCCTTTTGTATGCGAAAACGGACAACGTAACTATCTTTTAAGTTGAGATTTTTCACAATTGTTTCAGCTAGCCGTAAATTATGGAAAAGACGAAAAAGGGAGGTGTGAGAGCCGCAATCACAGTCGACCAATGTTTACTCTACTTTACAACTTGATATATTGGATCAAAGGAAGGTTAATGTTGTCTACATGAAGTATTACAAAATATTACATTCTTCACTGGATTTCTTTATTTTAATTGTTGTATTCCAATTTTAAATATCGTTCAATAATTGAACACCTGGTGTTGCCACGAGCCAAAGATGACGCTATACACTTGCTCTCATTCGAATGAATCAAATATATTAGATTCCGTTGTGATATAGAATTACAAAATACAATAATAATCACAATTGATGTTACAGTTCTGAACTGTTAGATCAGATTGTAGGTCCCGTGTGAACTTTCCGATTCTTTAAATAATTGATTTAAAAGTGACAATATTAATATTGGAACGCAACTTCGATGGTTCTAATAACCCATGATACAGTTTCGGGATACTCTAAAAATATAATTGCACTCCAAAAAATATTTTGTAGATTACGTCGCAAGAAATGTTACTCGTGTTCAAATAGAACACGGAAACTGCATTTTAAGAGTATTGAACGCATTCCCGGCGGGTTTCTAAGTTATTTCCGATTGTAACGTGTTCATGTTTATTGTGGTTTGCTTGTGCGTATGCAGCTTTTCTCCAAACGTAATCAACGAAATTTTAAATTGTTCGCTTTTTTTCTCTTTGGTGCTTACTTTTAAAGTAATTCATTATCCAGCAGAAGCCTAATTGTATGGTTGTGGCAAGTATGATTTATATATTGAACAAACACGTCATTATTCCTGAGCTACTTTCAAATAGAGGGTATATTAATAAAATGCGATATATCAGGAGATATTTTCAATATAGTAGCAGTATAAGAAAGCAAAAACAACTTAATAGAAATGTCGATTGGCAGCGAGGTTTTCAAGGAAATTATACATCCTGTGATATTTAAGGGTTTTTATAGAGTTTTTTTTACAATAGTTAAGTACAGAATTTGAATATCATGGCATTATCAAGTCGAGTACTTTCCAATTTATCTGGATGGCACAAGAAATATGACGTATGCGGTCAGTTTGTGGACTCGGCTTGAACACGTGCCTTCTTTGTGCACACTCAAGGGCTTCAGTGATACTTGGGCGGCATCCCAGGCCAGTGTGACAATACCTCCTACCATATTTGTATTATTTCCGCAATGTACTCGGATGTAGTCAAATCTCCCCACGACATCTGACTCGCTTTCATTGGCCAGCCTAATTCTGGATTATGTAAACCTTGCTTTTGCCATTATTTGCGATATATTATTTAAATGCCATGTGAGAAGGCTTTCTGTGGCATCATCATGCAACTAATCCAACATTTGCAATTTATTTCATGCACTTTTAACTAAAATGTGGTTCATCTCTCGAACAACTATTTCTCTCGAAGCCATCTTTTCTTCACACTTCACTATTTGTTTTTATAGAACAAATGCGTGTCATTGACTCGGCTTCATCTCTTGAATCTGATTCCTCAGGTCCGCTCTAATAAGAATACTCTAGGTAAAAAAAGTACCAAGAAAACTTTTTCGATATATCTTTCAAAAGTAAACTTCAGTCTGAGAACGGTGCAAGATTTATACAAGATTCTAATAAAACATCCGACAAAAAGATGGAAGAAGATTGTAGATGGTCAGAAGAGGCAATTCGTAGAAAAAACACGCAGTTTGGAAATGCGCCAACTCAATGCCAGGAAGATCGAAAAGAGCCAAATGTACCGCTTGAAATAAATGTGAGGTATAAGGAATGGTAAAATGCGTCTTGGAAACTGTCCTTTTAAGCTGCAATCTCATCTGCGACGTGCATGCTTCTACTGGTGATGTTCTGGCGACCGAGTAACCCTCAGATACGTATTATATGGTTAAGCAAAAAATATTCGTCGGCCCGAGAGTGAGTGAGAAGTTGAACCAATACAATGAAGAAAACAAGATTGTAACAACTCTGATAAATGAGTAATATAATATAGAAATGTATTGCAGAGTATTGAGGGGAAAAATATTCTGTTGCTAGAATTATGTTCTTTTGGGAGATAATTTTGTTTACATTCAGAAGATATTGTTTACAGGGAAGGAATATGGAGAGGAAAATTTAAGGACAAAAGGAAAGGTCAAAGGCATGCTATTTGATATAGAATGAAGGGATTTTGAATAGCAAGACGTGGAGAGCAGTACAAAAAATGACAGAGAGCAGCGTTTTTTAAAGGACAGTTTTAAATGTTTTAGACCTTTTTACGATAATTGCGTCTAAATTTTAGACAAGATATGCGGAGAGCCTATATAATAGCGGTTATTAGAGTTTCCAATTTACCGCCTTAGGAAGACTTTAATATCCAATTTGCCACGAGGGATACTCTGGATTGTACCTTCGCTCCAGTAATTACACGGGTCCACGAGCTCTAAGGGGGTTTGAATTCATATTGCAGCTTCATTCATTGGGTCATTCATTTATTCGTTCATCCATTCAATCTTGTGGTTATTCAATTTTACTTTCTCGCATTCTACTTAGATAATGTATTGTAACGCTGCGGCGATAGAAAAACATCGCGGGTCCCTTATACTGAAGAAGTGGATAAATCTTATTTCTGAACTGCTCTTAAATGTATAATTAGAATCCACGTTTTTTGGGTGCTTGATACCGAATAATTGGCAGACGGCAAAATTCTGTCCCAAGTGCAACGCCAGAGCCTAATCCGTTAAGATGATTTTCACAAAAATTGAT